TAATTCTCTACATGAATCTCTACTTCTACATCCTGTAATGATTCTTATTATATTCTTTTGTATTTTAAAAATTATTACACTATGTGAAGAGTTCCCCCAAAATATTAAGCACTTGAATGTGAAACGCAATATAGGTAAGAAAAGGTAAAGCTATCCTGTTAACCAACCGCGGAGGCCCACAGGGTTGTGAGACGTTGAGGTTCCCACATTTTCTAGTTTGCTCACGCATGGCGCCCAGGAACACTCCTGGTACAAATTTCTGTTAGAGGTTGAGTCAATACTAGGCCGCCACAATAAAGCTGGAAGGTTTTAAGTCAACTGAAAAATCCAATGACCTCATCGGGAATTGAATCCGCAACCTTCCGGCTTGTAGCATAGGAACACAGCAAATTTCAGGTGTACAAAATAGGTAAAATTTAACAGACTTTGCGTGCAACCAGCAGCAAAATACGTAAACACAAAATGCTACTTGAAGTTTCACTAGTTGCACTTCAATCTATCTGCAACTATCTGGCTTTCCCAAAGCCATTCTGCATTAACACGTATTGTTTACATTATCATTCAGAGCTGAATGTCCCGATTACGGCCATTGAATTGCCGATGTTTATTGTACATCAGCAAACTACCCAGACAGTTTTATTATGATGCAGTAACCATGCATAGTTAGCTGAAGGCAACCTTGTAGGCTACATATTATTTCACTCACTTTGAAGTCTGAGGGCATCTAATATATAAATCCTGTAAGCGGTAACGTAGTTGGTTGTGGCACTATGCTACAAGCCGGAAGGTCGTGGGATCGAATCCCAACGAGTTCATTGGATTTTTTCAATTTACCTAATCTTTCCAGCCGCACTGTTGCGCTGGGGTCGACTCTGCCTCTAACAGGAGTGAGTACCAGGAATATTCCTGGGGGTAAGGAGCGGCCGGCGTGTAAGGCTGACAAACTTTCCATCCTATTATGCATTAGGATAATGCAGAAAAAAAGGAACATGAAATGAAATAATGTACATCTTGAGATAGGAACGTACTATACGTACTACATTATAGTACTTATATTTTCTACAGATGGTTCAACCAACCCCTAGTCTATTAGAGTGAGTGAAATCGAAACATTACTATCAAGTCTAAAGGCATGTAATACCCGTATCATCCTAGTATGCAGTAGGATAATGGAGAAGACACTAAAATGAATTGAGATAATGTATGGGCCATTCTAAATTACTGTCACGGAGGGTTTCCTTGGCCTATAATTTTCAAACCTTCCGTGCCACAAAATGCGTGTATGTTGCAAGTTCTATTCTGCAGAATTTATTCTACAAGCAGAACCTCTTTAGTTATACTTTCATATTCTATCAACAGTTCTATTTCAATATTTAGTGTTTGATTCTTACTGGCCAAGGAAACCCCGACAATAATTGAGAATCATAGACATGGGAAATACATAATATATTGTGACGTGGATGCCACAACAGGAAGTAGGGGTTGCGTGAACTCTTGCGTTCTCGCGAGGGACGTCACATACCCCAACTCCTTCAATCATTACGCAACGCCCGGTAAACAAACTCCCACCCCGGTGACATAACAGCATAGGAGCCGCTGCTACGGTAACAGGCCAATAAACACTCTGCCCCCGCCACCCCCTCAGTACGTAACAGCACTTCCCACCGTGACGTAACAGAGGCCACCGCTTTTAACACGGGGTAACAGGGAACGGAATAAAAGGTCAGCTGAGCGGTGTGTGATATTAGGAGTGACACAGTGTGGATTGTGAAGTCGCCGAAAACAGTGGAAGTAACTGTGATACTGCTGATGGCAGTAGTTGTGAAACTGTGAATTGTGTAAATGTAAGAGCGAGTGTTCTGGACCTAGCGAATTTATTGAACACTCGCTCTTACATTTACACGATTCAGTTTCACAACTACTGCCACTGGCAGTATGACAATACTTCCACTGCTCTCGGCGACTTCACAANTTGCAGAGTTCACGCAACCCCTACTTCCTGCTGCGCCATCCACGTCACAGTATTTACAGGATGTCCCAGGAGGAATGTGCCTTACTTCGGGAGGGTGTTCCTTATGTTAAAGTATGCCGATATAACCCAAAACCTCTATGTTCAAAGTTGAACGGTTACGGAGATAATGGCCTGAGAAAACTGTGGTCTTCTGGCGGGTCCACGCACTGTACCTGTCGGCTGACATGTCTTATCGACGTTTGTCCTTCAGTGTGATTACGGCTCACACTAGCCGCATACACTCGCATACCAGAATGCGCAGTCAGCCGTGTTACTTAGTGCTTGCCATTCATGTGTCATGTATAGTACCTGGAACCCTAACGACAACTATGGCATGGTGTGCGTTTGTTTTTTGTTTTTTTTGTAGTTCAGTTTAATGGCTTCATGTCACTCACAAGTTAGTTTGTTACGTACATTATTAACATTACAGAAACCACATATTCCTGCCGGTTTTAATATGTATCAACAAGTGTGTAACACATGTCAAAGTTTCAAAATTCTCTGGCAATTATCTCTCTAACCGTTCACCTTTGGACATAGGTGTTTTGAGTTATACTGGCATACTTTAACATAAGGAACACCTTCCGGAAGTCTGGCATATTCTTCCTGGGATACCCAGTATATAATTTGGCCCATTGCCTAGAGACAGCGAAGCTTAATAAGTAAATAATCAGTTGTCAAGGAACTTATCAAGACAAGAATACAACTGCCTGCTGATATGATTGCAAAAATCACGATCAATGCTCGCTCCAGCTGGAACACAAACCAGTACAAGAGATGTATAAGAATTAATTCTATTGGGAACATATTGAACCGTGTAACGGTTATTCTCTGTTAAGTTCCTTGAGAGTCCCCCCCCCCAAAAAAACGCCAGGATGCGAACCGTTCCTTTCTTTCCAACTGACGTCAAGTCAGCTGTCCTTTCCCTCCCCTCCTGCACGTGTCGGGAGCTTTCTTGGTTAGACCAAGTGAAGCTTACGTTCTCTTCCAACAGACCTTCATCTGAAAACATCGTTACATTTAAATTCTGTTTCGAGAAAGCTGAATTGTGTTTGAAATTCGGTTTCAGCAGGTAGCACAGATCGAAGGGAGAGGAGTGCCCTCACGATCTGCTCAAGGGTGGTTCAGACATTAGGTAAATCTTTGAGTTTGTATACCCAAAATACAAGTAAGTGACTTACTGAAGTGGTGTACGCCATAAGGCGAATTTTGGGTTGATTATAGACGCCGTGTTGCATAGTGTAATTCTGGGTTTGTTAAAGGTTGTGGTAAACAGAAGATCGCCCTTCGGGTGTGTTCAGTAGTATACTCAATCTGTTTGTATTTCCTTGTGTTACGAAGGCTTCATCGAGTACATGCTGTACTGGGGAGTTTGGAATACGCCACAAGGCGTGGCCTATTTGAGTTGCTGTGCTGTTGAGCGCAGCGTAATTCTGCATCAATTAGCTATCATATGTTTAACCAGTCACTGCCCTTCAGTCGGGGTTCATTTCTATACTTATGTTACCAATATATATATATATACATACATAAGTTTGAGAATGCCAGTTGACTATATGTATACTTGTGCCGTATGTTCCAGACGAGTTCCTGCCAAGTGGATCCGTCCAGCCTGGCCCATTGTACTGAAGGTTTTTTTTTTCTCCCTAGATCCCTTACTCTATCCTAGGGAGGCATAGTGCATCACGCTAACAAGCAAGTCATTTCTTATGAGACTGTCCCTTACCCATATAGAGAAGGGATTCACGGGTCAAAGTGGGTAGAACAACACGGTTCTTTACGCACAGGGTCGAGGGACAGGGCTCATCATCTGCTGATCACGTGACTAAGTTTCTTAAAGATACCTTTCAAATATGTGGAAATTTATTATTTTCCAAATGCCTTCGAGGAAATTTGAACGAATCTCTCTCTCAGAAAACATTTCAATACATCATTTAACCAAAATTGTTACTGATTTATAGTGAGCTACTTAGACAATAGGTAGAGGTTATGCATAAATTATTGCTTTCTGAAACTTACCTCCAATCTCCCAATTATGTGCATTAACATCCACCCCTTTTTACCTGAAAAATAATAAATAAAACGACATGAGAATGCTATACAGATGCACATTTACAATTCAAATATCTCAATTGTTACAGAAATGCCAATTTCTTCTCTTTCAAAGAGCAGGAAAAGCCCAGGTAATTTCACAGCATGGCAACCCCGTAAAACACACAGCATTATTTCACTGCCTGTTTAGATCAGTGCAATCAAAATTAACTACACGTACTGTCTCCCGAATACACGAAAAATCAGANAAAATTTGATATTAATTCACAAAAGCCAGCGGAAATACTCTCAAATATAGAGCAGGCGTGGGGCGAATGGTGGAATGAGAACTGGTAGGAGAAACTGGAGCACAAAGAGAAAACCCTGCCCAGTGCCACTTTGTCCGTCACAAATATTAAGAGGCATTTTCTGGGATGGAACCCAGTGAAAGAAGATGGGTGAGCTACTAACCACCTGTGCTATTCCACGGTCTACTCTAACCCATATTCATTCATTCATCAGTAATCTGTCAGACGACAGGTCCACAGTCTCTTCCAAAACAGTTCGTCCACTTAATGCGATCTTAATGCGATCTGCGATCGCCTGTTGCTATAAGAACTTGAATCATCTCGAGCATCATTTGCTCTGTGCTTCAAGTCGCTGCTGATGACGCTGCTTCCGGCACCAATTTTTGGTGTCTCTCTTCGTCTGATGCCTACCCTTTGACCTGTCCAGCAAGGGAGGCCCTGCCAGTAGCTACGCTACCGCTGGTATAGCTCTCAGCTACCATAGAACAAGTATACTCCGAATTCCACAGATAATAAAGAGGAACTGACTGCTATGCGCCGTTCCCAGACATCACACAAGCGTATGATAAAGTATGGCACCCAGGCCTCTTGTTCAGAATCAGAGAAACTTTCCCTATGGAGACTACTGAATACTGGAATCACATCTAAAGGGCCCCATACACGTATGAGTCTGGATCGCAAGCCCGACTCGGCTCGAGTTCCAATGAGCCAGACTCGTCCGTGTTTCTGTCACAAAGTTGGGAGTCAGCTCATCCACTTATGGTGAAATTCATCAGAGTCAAGCTCACCGAGCCAGACTCGTACGTGAATGGGTCCCTTATCGGATAGACCCTCTCGAGTAAAATTCAAAGACAAAACCAAAAACTTAAAACAAAAGCAGACATACCACAAGGAAGTGTCTCAGGACCCGTCCTATATCTTATCCATGCAAGCGACCTCTTTACATCAGAAAACACAACTGCTACCTTCGCGGATTTTAAGCAATCTTAGACACACATGAAGGTCCAGCGACAGCCTCAATGAAACTCCAAGCCACCGTGAATAAACTTGATTAGGCGAAGAAATGGAGAATTAAAATAATGTCACGTGTTGGGCGTATAACGCGACAGATAAATTCACGCCGGTCTCGAATTGAGTAGAACATTTATTGTTCTTCACGCTTACACAGTCACATGCTTTACAATTGTTAGCCTACACAATTTCTCGGCGACACTGGACTGGCTTCGCTGGCGGTGTATAGCAGACTCTTCCTGCAGCGGATATTCCAGGGCTTTTTTCTTTGGAGGCTATTCCGAGACTTTCTTCTTTCTTTCTTCGCTATTGTTACTTCTTATGCAACGGTCTGTTCTAGCATTTCCCTAGAAGTTACTCCTCTGGTTTGCCGACACGTTACACTGCTCCCTTCTAAAGGTTGTTCGTCCCCGAACAGCCTAAAAGTTCTCCCTCAGTTTCGATTCGCGGTGTTCTGTTGGCAACGTCTGCAATCGGCCTTGGTGTCTTTCGCGAGTCTTATTGCGCTGCTCATCTTACCGCATCCACCCCTCTCTTCAGTTGTGCTCGTCCCGATCACTCTCGTGGTCCACAATTTGTCGGTCGCCTTGTTTAACATTCACTCGTTTTCC